CATTCTGACTGGGCAGGAGAGTCCGTCTGGCACTGGTCGCGCCTGGGCTAGAGTGTGGGTTTGTAATCTACTTGTTCTAGTTCTTCTGTTTGATGTGGCCATCGTTTGCTTAACTGAAACCGTTACTTTGTACACCCAAGGCAAGCTGAGAGAAGACCTATTCAAGAAATTCGTCAGTGGCGACGGCATCGCAGGACGAAAGCCCTATGGGTTCAGCACCAAGATGATTCACTGTGTGGGCTGGAAACGCCTAGAGGCAAATCGTATGTTCACTTTTGAAGATGTGGGCAAGAGAAATTTTAACGCAATTTTGAGAAGAGCGCTGGTTTGGAGAGCCAGAGCAAGGTTTGAAGATCCACAGGTTATCGCGTCCGCATATGCAGATATCCACAAGGACGGTGTCTTTCCGAAAGACCCAGATTTAGCGAGCTTCCTCACATCTTCGGCTGCTGTCGCTGCAGCGCTACAAATTCAGCATGCATTCGAGGCAGAGTACAGCAAGCAAGCTTGCATTGACATGATCGAGAACTATGTCACTTGGGGTGGAGATGGTGGCTTGACAGAGCAAACAATGAGGGAAGCGTGCAGGCTCCCGCCCAGAGATATCCGTGCTGCCAACACAAAGTTTTCTGCAGTCATCCACCTAGATGAAGTAGAGGATGATGAAGAAAAGGAACAAAAAGCTCAATGGTGCGCTGCACGAGAAGCTGTCATGGATGTGGCTTTCAGCAAAAAGAAAATTTTCTTCCCGGAAGCCTTGTTGACAAGCTTGAAAGCCAAGGGTGGCCCAAATGTTTCGAGAGAAGGCTTGCTTGACGGACTGCTGAACATGAAGTACTTGCAGAGGTTGCCTGGATCAAAGAAGGCGGACACCCGCTACATTCCTGTCTTGACTGCTGAGGTCTCTTTGTGTGACATTTTGCATCACCAGGATCGGATTTGTGAGCTTGAGTTGTCTGAAATGTATAACATCGACAAGTTCAGCAACTACCTAATTCAAAGATTTTGGCAGATGTCCTTCAAGCTTCTTCAGAAAGCAGAAGACCTAGAGCAGGCAGACCTTCACCAGAGGAGGTCAAGCAGAAGGAAGACATGCAAGCTCGCAGTCGCAAATTGCGGAGTGGTGAGACTCACGGAGAGGAGTTGCTAGAGGCACTAACAGAGCCAATCCAGAAGAAACGCAGGTTCTCGCAGAAAAAGCCTGAAGTCAAGACAGAAAATTCTGAAGATCACATTCTCATCCGCAAGGTGAACTACCAATACCCTGGCCCTTGCACTATCCGAACTCGCAAACAAGTGGTAGGTATCGGAGCTCAAAAACTCAGCAGAAGAGCGCAGGTGATGCTTTTGGATCAGACACATGACCTGGACATCGAGAATTGTCTTTTCACTTTGCTTCCCCAACTGCTGGAGAAATTGAAATTGGATCCACCAATGCCACCGGATGCACTAGCAGCCTTTGCCCAGTGCAGGTCACAAAGGACTAAAGTTTGCGCAGATGTCTTGCAATTGCCCCTGCACGTGGGCAAAGAGCTGCTGGTATCTATTCTGTACGGCGGACATGTATCGGGCAAATTGGTGCGACATGACTTTGTGCAATCTTTGCAGCGAGCATCTATGTATTGCAAATGGGCTGCTGCTTCCAGCTTACCTGAGGAGTTTGCATCCTTCGTGGAGGACACTACAAAGAAAAACCCTGACAGCTCTGTTCTAGCTTATCTCTACATGGCCGCTGAAGACTACGTTCTGTCTCACTGGTGCGATCATCTTTTGACCTTTTCACCCACCCACTTGTCACTACACTTTGATGGTGTCCGCATATCACCTCTGCAGGGGATCTCCATTGAAGAAGTTTGCAAGCAAAGTGCATCCTACATTCTGGACAAGACTGGCTTCAAGGTCACAATCCGAGAGAAGAGACATGAGACTGTGAATGCCTTGATCAAGAAAGCTGCTGCGTGTGCGAAGAGGGCTCCCTTTCCCACAGATCATGTCTACTGTGTGCCAGGGAATTGTATTCCCCACGCTTTGGCCAGTTTGGGTGCCATTACGGAAGAGAAGGTGTCACTGTTGACAGAAGCATGCCCAGACAATGCATATATGCAACAGCGTGGATGTCGCACATATCTGCAATGTTCCAATATGTTCCACTGTTCCTTCTCGCCCGTCTTGTGCACTCAGTCTTTTGATTTTCGAGGAAACTTCCTCTTACATTCCGAAAATGGTGGCAGCCCACATTGCGTTGCTGTGAAGCAGGACGAGGAAGACAAGCTGATTGTTTTTGACACAGATGGTGTCTTCCACTTAGCAGTAGCTGACTTCGAGACAGCGTTGTTAGGTGGTGTGGATGCTGCCACGTGTGTTATTTTCAAACTTCAGGACGGCAAAAAGGATACAGATGTGGGTATGTCCGATTTTGAGAACCTCCTGGACTTAGCAGCAGGGAGTTCTGAATCAAATGAAGAATGCACTACAGACGATGCTCAGGACACAGCATTACTGCCAGAGGTGTCCGAAAAGAAGGGAAGCTTTGATTGGCTAGATGACACTGGACGTGTGATCACCGACCAGGTGTTGTTGAGTGATTTGCAAACGGAGGCGCAAAAGTTTATGGAAGCTGCCAAGGCTGGACAATTCCGAGCCGAACGCGGTGCTTTTCAATGCCCTGCGTGCCCCTTCCGGAAGTTCGACCGCTGCAAGCGTCTGGCTGTCCATCTTTCTCGGTATCATACAGCAAAGCGTCAGTTCTGTTGTTCCGGCACAAAGCAGATCAAAATCATTCTTGCTCTCCATGACTCAGACATGATTGCTGAAAAAAGGCAAGGGAACTACCTGAAGCGAAGCGCCACGCTGCTAAGAAGATCTATCAAGCCAATGCTTTCGCCGCAGAACAACGCCGTCGACAAGGAAATTCGGTTTCTATTGGATGCTTCAGGTCCAAGGGTAGTGCATCGGCAAGCGCTTCGCAGCGCGCGTCGAGTTGGCAATATGTACTACACACATTCCTTCGCTGAGCGGATCTTCCAAGAAATGCTCTTGAACCATGCCAAGGCGCGGGGAGATGAAAAAGGTTCAATGGTCGCACAGCATGTGCTATGAAGGTGAAAAACCCTTGTAGTGACTGCTCTAAGCACCCCTCAGGTGTCTGCCTTGGTACCTCGTTTTTTGCTTGACTCAGCAAAAGCTGGCAACAGCCTGGCGTCAATGCTGCCCACCCACACTGCGTGTTGGTGGCCTGTGGTTGAGGACGTATTCGCATCAGCAGCTTGCAAAAAACTCCGTCATCATCTCCTGGACCAAGCTGTTGCGCATGAGGAGTGCTCGTACCTGTCCATTGATGGAACATTCAAGGTATGCTTGCCATTGATGGGGCAGGGTCGGTTTTCAGACCCAAGAGCCTTACGCGACCAGCATCCTTTTCCGGCAAGTGACAGCTACACCCGTGTTCTCTCAGTGCGGGGAAGAAGCGGTGCAGTGCTTTGCCTGGAGCCATCTTGTGGAGAAGGCGCAGACCACATCAAAGCGTGTCTTCAAAAAAGCATTTCAGCGCCTGGACTTTTGCAAGTGAAACATATTGCAAGCGACAATCCTTCACCGAAGCTTTTTTCTGAGCTCAAATCGGTCTGCGCAAACCTCAAGGCCTTGTCTTTAGACCCAACACATACGGCTATGCACTATGAGCAGGGGCTGGGAGGAAGAAAGTCTGCAGGTTCGAGCCTACTTCGGTCATTCATGGTGAAGTTCACAAACCACGACGAAGCAGTGACCCAAAACATTTGGGGACCATTCTTTGAAGGACAAGCTTGCGTGGCCCTATCTCGTGAGGAGCAAATGTTGCGACAACACATTCTGGACAGCTCCTTGGCAGTTGTCCGTTCCAAGCGGATACTGGCTTCTTGTGAAGAATTGAAGGTCTGGCCTACACGGATTCAGTTTGTGGAGGCACTGGCTGCACTTTCCTGTCTTCACAGAACCGACATGGGCCGGAAGATCGAAGGGACTAAAACTACGCTGGCGAAGCTCCTACACAATGTCACAAGTGCAGAGCAGCTGGAGTGGCTCTTCAACAACTTGAGGTACAGGCAATTCTTACCACATCGAGTTCGTCTGCTGCTGCCTTCAGGCACTACTGCCAACGAAGCACTCCATGCAGAAATCAACTCATGGTATCGACAGACTCAGCAGATGCACCGCAGCACATTGGTGCAAAAGCTGCAAATCCAGCAGCTGGGCAAACTATTGGCCCACAACATTGCTTTGCACAGCCCCACAGCAAAGCAGATGCCAAGCTCTCATGTCCTCTCACAGCGAGTTGGAAATCCTCTATGGTCAGCCAAAACCTGGCAGTCGGACATGGCGCAACAAGCATCAACCTTGCCATTGAAAGCTCGCAGAAAAACAGAGAAGGAGCTGGTGGCAGAAGCAGCTAAAAAGCGTCCAGCAGCAGCTCCAAGGCCGAAGGCGCGTGCGAAGCGCACGCCATTTACTTTGGAGCGCAAACCCGGTCTCCTAAGGAGCGGGGTGCGCAAAAGAAACTCGATGTGACAGGTGAAAAAGAATTGCGTAAACACTGCTTGCTGTGCTTGTGCAAACACAAACAACACTATCTTTGGACATTGGCACGCTGGATTAGACTTAACCCTTCTACACTCTGCGCGCTCAATACACAAGCAATTAGTATGTACTCTCAGCGATCAATATGTTGCTTTCTCCCGGCCCTACCTGCTTGCTTGCCTGGTATAGAGGGAACCTAATCTCTATGATTTGCTGGATAGTTTCTTGGCATCGCGCTCCGCATCTGGTTCTCCAGTTTCAAGTCCAGTTGTGGAACTGGAGCAACAGCCTTGCTATTTAACGTCTGCGAAGTATTATTGTGCTCTTTTGCTGACAGGAAAAATGGGCGGGTGCTGGATGTTGCACTTAGAACCAAAGCAAATGTTGTCTTGAGAGCTCCCACGACTCATTGTACCTATTTTTCCATGCCTCGGATTCCCCCCTTATCAGGGCTCGGAGCAGTGGGGGGGGGGAATCCCCGCAGCGCCGCACTCCAGTGCCCAAATCACTTCCTTCAAGGGGACCATGGCCTTCCGCTGAGGCTTGGACACCGTGGGCGTCAGTTGGTCCTGCAGTGCTTTGCGTTTCTCCTGGAGCCTACCCAGGGAGGCCACGTCCAGCAGCCCAAACCTCTTGGAGAACCAGCGGAGGGTGTGGGTAGCCTCCGTGTCGCGCAACTTGTTGAGGAGTGCTCGCACAGCAGCCTCATCCCAGGGGATCTGGTTGAACCCCATCCGGATAAGCTCCTCGAGGCCCAGGCAGTGAATGCGTAGGGTGCCCTCAACAATGCGGGCAAAGGCCGGCGGGGTGAGCTTGCTCACGTCGAACTTGAGGCAAAGCTCAACGATCTCACCCACCTGGATGCTCCGCAGCGGCTGCGCCAACTTCTTCGGGAGGCAGGGAAGGCCAGCCATGACGTTGGTCAAAAGGATGTTCCCGTCCTCGGCAAAGGAGTAGGTCACAGGATCCTGCAAGCGCTGCTCAACCGGAACCTCAGTGTCCAGGCTTGTCCGCAAAGTCGAGGAAGGCACCGGCGGCAGCTGCTTGCCCAGCAGCGACAATGCCCCTGAGGCCGGCACGGAGGAGGATGACGCATCCGGGCGAGGCTCGGTATCAGGGCATGAAGCACCTGCCGAGGCTCTCGAATGGTCACCCCCAACCAAGGCACCAGTTTCAGAGGGGCCCGCTGACAGAATCCCAGTATCAGGGCCCGAGGCACCTGCTGGGACTCCCGCGTCGTCCCCCTGATCCAAGGGGCGTTTGCGGCTGCTTGGCACCGTCGATGCGTCCACAGCCACCACGGAGGATGCCGTAGGGGGAGGAGCCGAAGTAGGACTTGCCAGTCCAGGGGGGGTCTGCAAGGAGAGAGAGGTGATGCCGCTCACCATAGCCTCCAAGTCCCGCTCCAAGTCCGCAGGGGTCTTCCGCAGGGATCACGTAATCGGCCAAAATGGCCATCTCATCCTGATCAGCCGCAATCTGGGCAGTCTCAGCGGCTGCCACCTCCTGCTCCATAGGATCCGGTCCCAGGATCACAAAATCCTCCGCAGAGTCCAAAAGTTCGAAGTCGAAAAGTTCCGCCATGGCACAAGGCAGAAAAGAGCAAAAGAGCGAAAGTCGCAAAGGTTCGCAAAAGTTCGATCTTTGATGGATCAGGGGCTGATCCTTGAGCCAAAATGGCAGGCCATTTTGGCTAATGAAATGTATTGTGGACACATTGTTTGCAATCCGCAAACTCCATGCAAAACCAAAATAATAGTATATATATATACTCTTTAATAATATGTAGACATCGATTCATCCTAGTGCATTGGAACGTCCACCAAGAGATCACCTCAAGAGTCTGAATCCACGCCCCTTGCGGTCTTTCATGGGAAACATCGACCCACGACAGGAGATGTGGATCAGTCCAGGTGCTCAAATTCAAAGGGTGCACAAAAGCACATCTTCTTGAGTCCAAACAGTCCACAAAACTCCAAGTGACCGTAGTGAGCAGATAGATGTTTTCTAAATAGACAAGACCGCTGGTTGACAGACGAAGAACCTTGCGACCCGAGATGTTGCCCCCCAAAGTGGGACCATCGTTTGGTGTGACCCACAGAAACCACATGGGACCGTTTGGATGAAACACCTCCCCCAAAGCGACAGACCCAAATCAACACCGGGGACCGATAGAGGCTTGTCCCAACGATCGTCCTGGGGGTTCACACGTGGAGAGTTGTTGCTGAAGCTGCTGTTGCCGCATTTGCAGCTGCTGCATTTGCTGTTGCAACTGGACCTGCTGCATCCTTGGCTATGCTGCAAGAAACGGGCTGTTTGCGCCGAAGACCGATGACGGTCTAATACCGGTAAGATGTGGGATGAAGCCTCTGAATCAGTCCAAGTCCAGGTGGTGAAATTTGGAGCAGCTCTGCGGCAGCCTTTCTGAATGGTTCATATCCATCCATATCCCAAGTAAGTGCCTCATAAGTGCCATGCGGAGAGCACATCATCCATGTTGCTTTCACCCACAAAATTTTGGGGGTCAAGTCAAGGGAGACCACATCGGAACACACACTTTGGGTCTATTGTATCACTGTCGACGGAAGAGGTCTTATTGTGTATGTGTGTGGATAGATCCGAATCAATCTCTCTGGCACACTCTGGCATGACAAAGTTGAGACCTAGCTGGTACTGCCTAGCTACCATCCCGATCAATGCCCGGATGCTCCACAGAATACTGCCTTCCATGGCGATCCTTGGCCCCTTGCGCCCTCGGAGAAGCCATGGTCCGGTATGGTTCAAAACAGGAAACCATTTGGTGTTCCTCTTTCTTCTCTCGGTTGCTAACCCAACCACACTCCCTGAAACAATCATGGTTACGTGGATGGCATGGCCTTGTTGTCACTCCTGCTTACCTCGTGGTCACTCTCGTTGTCCTCGCGGTGTTGCTTCCAGGGGGGACCACGGTGTGCCACCGTTGGCTCCAGGATTCGAGGGAATCCGAGGGATCCGCGGCTCGGGTTGAGCGCCGGTCTCTCAGAGCTGACCCCGGGCAGCTCGGGGTACGAGTAGTCATGACTAGTCTTCGCAGTGGATTCGACTCGCAAGGGATTTGTGCAAAGCTTTTGGTTTTGACTGACGATGTCTTCGATCGATCCAGGCAGTCACCACTCTAGATTGTAGGTCACCAGTGGTTCCAAACGCAAAGGCGTAGACCACTACTCGAGGCCTGGGATCCATGGGGTTCAATCAGTGGATGAGCCCGACCCCACGACATGTGCTCGTGGCCTCATAATGTGGTGCTTCCAAAGAACCGAGTGCCTAATGAACGAAGAAAAAGTATAACGAAGCTGGTTGATAGTTCTGATTTCTCACCACCAAAAAGGCCAGGTGCCTGTTTTTAATATTTGAGTGCCGTATTAGCATCTCTGCAGCCATACAGCAAACCAGAACGCCGTTCGGTCTTATGAAAACCGAGCCATGGCCGCGTGGGAGGAACAAGAAAGCGGCCATGTCATGCTCCAAGGGACTGGGACTCGATCAACTGGTGGCGCAATTGCTGTTGGGCCACATCGGAAGAGGCGAACTGCATGGACCTGACACCGCTTGGGCGCAACATGGCGCAACGCGCCGTTGCGGCGGCGCCTCCGAAACGAACCACCGTTTTCGTTCCTCCGAGTGATGTCCGGCCCTGACCCGGTTGAATCGCGCTTCTTCCAGCGCTGCAGGTCGATTCGCCCTGGGCGACTTGAAGCTTGACTGGACTTATATAAGGGGCTGAAACGAGCTGAGAACCAATTCGGCTGAGAACCGGAGTCGTGGTTGAAGTCCACAGGGTCGACCAAACGATGAAAGGTTCACTGCCTTTCTGCCAAACCTTTTGTGTTCATCAGTGCATGTTTCGAGTTCATGCGGCAAATGCATGCAAAAATCCCAGAATTACTAGGGATGGTCATGCGCTGGTAATAAGCTGTCAAAGCCAAATCCACATTCCACATCGAGAAAAGCCCTTGGCGCCGCCTCTTTGATCTGAAGTAATGAAATGGATTAAGAAAAAGACCAGGTGCAAACTCTTGAACCAAAGAGGCATCCCAACGGTACCCAAACTCGAGGGCACATCCGTCGATCCTGAAATCACCTCTTCCATCCCACGGACTTCGCCTGTCCGCAGAAGCCTCACAAATCGCTGTCGCGAAGTGGTCAAAGAGGGTTCTTTTGTCCAAGAAAGGACCCCCTGAAGGATAAAGTGCAAATAAACAGCCGAGTGATTGAAAAACTGTCAAAGTGCATGGCTCAAGTTCTCCCCGGCTCTTCTTCAAGCTGTTCCCACCTGGCTCATCCCACCTGGCTCTCAATAAGCACCAAGGGTGTCACCCAAAGAAATCCCAGGTTCAGCTGACGAGAATCTTCGAAACCATGAACGGTATACAAAAGTATCCTTCCCCTAGAAGCCCAGAGACTCTTGTTTGGGACCACCAAAGTAAAAGGAACTTCCGAACTTCCGGTCACCGTTCGTCCGACCATTTGATGGTCGTGGACTCCCAGAGCGCTGGAGTATCTTCACCACCAATCCCCAGTCCTTCGATCCAGGACCGTCTGAAGAAAAAATCCATCCACATACTAGGAACAAGTGCATCGCTTCTAGTAACAAGTGCCTTACTAGTAGTAGCAAGAAGCTAGTAGGAACAAGTGCCTTACCCCGCCTGGGCCGTGGAAAACTCGGAAGCAGGTTTGAGCCTTGGTTCCATGGATTGGTTTATGGAGAAATCAAGAAACCATGGGTGTAACTGTGTAACCGTTACAACCCAAAAAAACTGTGGGTTTCTTGTAGAGCTTAAACCCAGCCTGTGAACCTCATCATATCCAGAAATCTGCTCGCCAAACTCCACCCCGCCGCTGGCTGCGTTCGGCGAGGGTTCGAGAAGCGCCACACATGAGTGCCACACATGTCCACACGACTTTTCACAGACACCAAGGACATGCCCAGGACTCCAGGACATGTCTCCATATACTCTCCTAAGATCAAACAGGAAGGCGGGCGTCTCACGTTCCAGGGATCAATCTTTGCATCGGGCCCTTCTCCGTGAACAATGCAGCCGACCGGATTCGGGTGGGCTGCATGAAGGTCACAGGTGATCGTGCGCATCATTGAAAAAAGATCTACAGTAATCTACAGGACACGCAAGACATTGAACTAGCCCAAGTGCTACTAGGAACAAAGGGCATCGCTACTAGGAGCAAGGACGCTACTAGGGGCTCCTGGCCTTACTACTATAGGAACAAGGACGCTACTACAAGTAGGAGCTTTTTCGGGTGTCAATGATAGTTCTCTGTCGCGACTTGGAGGTAACACCTCCAGAGCACCTGCACTTTGCACAGTCCTATCTGTACCACTCGTCGGTCACCTCCCATAATTTCAGAAGCCATCTATGACTCTATAAACTTTGGAGATGATTCTTGGAATGCATGGTGGAGTCTAATTTTCTCACGCTACTAGTAACAAGGGCATCGCTACTAGTAACTAGTAACAAGGGCAGTACTACTAACAAGAAGCTTATTGACCAACACTTCTGGACCAACATTTGGTGATTCCCCCTCCCCACCGTTCCCAGCTCCTTTGGTTTTCCGAGCTCCGAGCACTCCCCCTGGCATCATGCTCATGGGCGGCGCATCGAGCCTGGTGTTTTGCGCAACTGGCAATCTCATGTCTGACACAGCCGCGACTGGCAGTGAAGACGTGTATAGCAATAACAATAATAACAATAAAAAGATATGACGTGCACCGTGTATTATAAAAGATATAAAAGAGGACGCTACTAGGGGCTCCTGGCATCGCTACTAGGAACAAGAAGCTACTAGGGGCTCTTGGCCTTAATACTAGGAGCAAGGATGCTACTAGGGTCTCCTGAGACTATAAGGGCGCCCAAGAATCGATCGTGGAGCGAAATCAGATCCCGTCCGCGGGCGATGTCGCCGTTGATGTCGTTGAGAGATTTCCTGAAACATCTGAAACTGCCCTGCCTGGTGGTTTGCATCATTTCATTTTGCCTCGAACGTCGCAGATGGCACAGATGAGGTCGGAGCGGCGGTTTGGACGAGTCCGTTCTCACTGTTCGATCCACGCCGATCCCGGCTCGACACAAGTGGTGCCCCTGGTAGACAGGTGACTTCGGTGACTTGCTACAAGTGTGACATGCACAAGTATGCAGAATGGTGAAGTGCAGACCACCTGAGTCCGTTGAGGCCTCTTTGAGGCCTCGCATCCCGGTGACTTGGTGGGATTCCGTCCGTGTGTCCGTGGGACGCTCTCGGAAGACCCGCATCCTTTACAAAAGGACCAGAAGCAAAAGGGCGCTGCTTGGGGTCGCTTGTAGATCTATTCTATTGGGTCGAATCCGGTTCAGACACTGTTCAGCAGTCGTTTGACCTGCGATGGCGAAAGCGTCCCTTTTCCATCCTTGTCCAATTTGCATTCGGTCTTCAAAATGAACCACCAATGCATTGGAACGGTGTTTGGTGCCCCCATCCACCACTGCAGCGAAGCTGCAACTGAAGCTGCAGCTGTGCCAACTGAGAAGGCCTCAGGTTGAGCTCGCGCAGCA